AAACTCCTCCAGGAGAGGGAAACACTCAGGACACTAAGACACATGGTAGAAGTAAAGGAAATTTGTATGTCAGATTCATCTGCAAAAATAAATACTTGAGATTTCTACCAGCATCAACTTCGGGGGGTGGGGGGTGTGTGTGCAAATAAAAGCACTTTCACTTAATGTACCGAGTGAAAGAAGAGCAATTCAAAAAGCCATTAATCAGAAATCATTTCGTAACAGTTGGCACCAAAGGGGAATCCCCTATACTAAGTTTTCTTCATGTGTCTCTACTTCTGAGAGGAAAAGAAAGTTCTAGCTGCCCATCTCAATCACTTTCCTGCATTTCAGGGATTACAGACAATTTCATCTTCGAAGTTGGAATAACCCTTTAGTCTGACCTCAGTGCAAAACCTCCAGCGTTCCGAATTATACTCACTCTTACTTGGACCTGCCTTTTTGGAACTTACAGGTAACCAGACACTCACCTATAGTTCACATAGCTTCTAATCTGGGGGGAGGGTAACCAAGTGAGAAGCAGGGTCGTGAAATGCTGACCTGTTTTGAAGACGGAAAATCCTGGCATCAACTTCGGAAATCAACGGGCCGCCCCAGAGTCCAGGGGTGGCTGATCCAGTACACGGGAAGGACAGGTACTCCGTCAAAGGCGGCCAGCTTCACCACACAGCCCCGCCCGGGTCGCAGCCCCGCCCGGGTCGCAGCCCCCAACCCTCTCCTGGCACTTGCTGGCCACACTGCTTGGCTCTCAGAACCCTGAGGCTTGTGGCGAGTAACTAGGCATCCTCTTCTGAAAGGCTGCCAACCCAACCCCCTGTTAGAGATCACCCTCCCTTAGACGGCCCGGTTTTCTGGGATTCCTCAGCTCCTACAGCCAAAGGGGGAAACCATTTTTTTCTTCAAACATCAACTTTCATTCTCAGAGAAGGAGTATCAAGCACTGTCCTACTTGGGTAAGCCGAAATATGGACCCTGAAACAGGCCTTCAAGATGGAATGTCATCAGGAAAGGGGTGAGAAAGCTGATTTCTTCACCCTCAACGATGGAAAAACACAGAGCTTCAGTTAGCCTCACAACGCACAGTATTTGATGTGTGCTCGGCAGGGAAACGGCTCAAGACTCAAACCTGGCTCAGCAGCGCTGTGCGAGCACATGAACGTGAATGAACTCCCTGCAGACGGCTTGCACGTGCCAGGCGGACCACCCAGGACGAAGAGCCACAACAGTAGACCCCGGTCATCCGTGGGAATTCATACTGATGCTGTCTCCAGCGTGTATTCAGAGAGCCTGGGTGACAGTACATTTTAACTTGTGACATTCACCATGAAGGAATAGAAAAAGGGAAAACAGAAGCAGGTTAGCCAGATGTAACAGACTATTTGGCCCGTCAAGTAAGCAGGTCACTTTTGAGAGGCTGTTTCTATCGCTGTAAGTAGAGAAGGGCATGGGTCTTGCTAACTGAGGGGGAAAGAAACGAGTTGGCTCACTCCCTTTCCCAGTAGCCAAAGTAGGCGATACGGCTGCTTGGGGCACCACGGCCCCCGAGGAAGAGCATCTGAGGCGGCCGGCACTCTCGGACAGCTGCTGGGAGCAGCCTGAGCAGGACAGAGACCCCAACTGGACCCAGGCCTTCCGGGCTTGAACCTCAACTTCCTCAATGCCCAGGGCCAGACAAGCTTGCTTCTATCCTTCCTTCAGAAGCAGGCAAGGCCAAGCTCTCCAGCAGCCTCACGGAGATGAAGTGAGCACGGAACAGATCAAGCCAACCCACAGAACAATAAGCCAAACAAAAATACAGCAAATTCGAGTCCTGTCATTTCGGCTTGTCTTCATCTCCAAGAACCTGAAGAAGGTTCCACGGCTTCAAGATCTACCCTGTCCTCCCCCAACGTTTAAGGCCCTTGGTTCCAACCACGTCAGGCAGCAAATTCTCACCGCAGGATCGGCTTCTGTTACTTGCCCTAGTAACACATTTTCAGGGTTGCATCCCTGTACCACATGTGCTGTAAGGACGGAATAGAGTCCAACAGGTAAAAGCGGGAATGACCCAACAGATCTCTTCAGAAAAGCTTTCTGCGTCCATTTATGTTATATCTTGGGGGAAGGGAAGAAGTGGGAAATCACCTTACATGTTTCTTTTGGAAACACCCTTATAAAATATGCTTTCTAGATGGTACAGATTACAAACCCAGTTTTAAGGACTAAAACTTGCTTATTTCTTTAGTCTTCCAATTCTGACTTAACACTAAACAATAGTGAATATTTTAGGTTTAAAGCTAAACGAGTCCATGTATGTGTGACTCGGAGCATCTGCCCCCTTTGAGCTGAAGTAAACTCAGCTGCAGGTATTTTATCTTCTGACCAAAGCAACACGCCACACACTTAGAGCTGGAACACTACACCCCCTCCATCAGGTGACAAGTATGGGTACTAAAAGCAGCCTCAGCCTCCAGCTATCATCCCTAGAGGGTGGGCTGCAAAGGGCACACGTGAGGACGAGTCATTCTGCTAAGAACGAGCCTATCAAACCAAACCAACAGGAAAAGTTGAGTTAGAGATCAGGAGAAAACTTAACATCTGACCATTTAAGAATATACTGAAGACTGAGACAAGTACCAAAATAGGAAACACTGGGTAAGCATTATGTGATGAAGAGCACTGCCCTGAGCTGACATTATCTAAGTTACAAACAACAAGATAATGGGTTAGCACAGGCCTGCTCAGAAGTCAAAAACTACAGATGACACATAACTACACAACTGTAACAAGCAGCTCCCCACAAATAGACTTATAACTTGAAATGGTTTCAGTGAATTAAACATCTGTAAACACAATAGGGGAACTCATTCAAGGGAGCAGGTTTAACTCTTCAAAGCAAAGAAGACTGCATAGAGCACACGTTCACTGCTATAGTTCGGTTTGTAAACCCTGAATTTCAAATATAAGGAAATTCACAGGACAGATACAAGGGGCTAAAACATGTTGGAAGTGCTCAAACTTACACGAGAGATGGAATTTGAAAGAGGCCCTTTTCACCCACCAGAGCAAAAATATAGGTAAGAACGAAGAGAAAGGGCTACTCTATTGATACTGAAATACAATTAGAACCTTTTTGGAGAGCAACTTAAGCTGTGCTCATTGCAGTTTAAAATGTATCCACACACACTTCTATGTACCTATTGCAGAAATACCTAGAGCCCAAGGATATTGACAGCTGTATTTGTACTACAATAGTACAGAGAACTTAGAAACATTTAAAATGTCTCAGAGACCGGTGAATCAATTTGTTATTTCCACACATGCAAATAAGGAAGAACTGATGTTTTGATATGGAAGGACACCTACCACCTACTGCTAAAAAAAAAGCTGCAGAATGACTGAAAATTTTGATTTTTAAAAAGTATGTGTAAATAAGTGAATGAATGGATGTCTTAAATAGAAGTTATTCCTGAGGGTGGGAAAGGAAACAAGATTTCATTTTTATATACAGTGTTTGCGCAATTTATGAGTAGCACTTCTATAATTAAGGTAAAGGAATGATTAGATGTGAGATTATTAACCTGCTAATCCACTGGAAGTTCAAAAGATGCCGAAAAAACCATTCAGGTCCTGCTGTAGCCTAGCATGGCCAACAAAACCGGCAGGTCTCAAAGGGACAAACCTTATCCTGGGGTTCTTTGTATTTAAAAAGCTCATTTTCTACATAACATACCCCCTTTCTCTTGTGCATTATCTAGACCATTTAGTAAATATTTTTCTTATGAGTTTCCCTAGGCCTCCACATTCAAACACATTACCAAAAATAACAGGAGATACAGGTATCACATTAGCCCCGAATCACAAGGTTACATCTTTAAACTTCCTAAAATCCTGTTCAAAGACTTCAAACGTTGCCTATAAAGTTCAGGTCCACAACTTTGCGAAGTGGAAAGAGTCACATCTTCCTTTCATTTCTTAGACTGGCAACACGCCTTTCATTCTTTTGCAAAGGACTCAACTTGATTTCTCAATGTGACTCTCCAAATAAATTTATTCAATAGGGGTGTTAATCACAACGTAAAGGAAAGTAGAACACTGATTATACATAAAATCCCCGCATCCAAAAATCTTTAGAAAATGCATATAAGAAACAACTTCACAAGTGTGCAGGTTTTAAATGGTAACCAACTTACGAGCACAATTTTAAAGTTACAGGAAGTACACCCTGTGTGTCTCTAACGCACTTAACGTTAAACACTGTTAGTATAATATTTTCCAGGCTAGAATGCACTTTCCACTTGCCCTAATAAACCGAAGCCCACATGGGAAATGTAACCAGAACTAAGTAAACATAATATAGACAGGAGAGCCAGAAGGTGGGCTAATGAACTGGGATGACTTCACAAGCAATAAGGCATTCTAAACAAATGTTTCAACAAACAGAAGGGTATGAAAAGTTAGGTATTTGGAGGATGTAAAATGCAACTACAGATCAGAGGAGGAAAGGGATTTCTTTGTGGATGCAATGGAGAGCGTAAGATGAGATAACGCGCCTCATGCCGCAGCCGCCTTAAAACGTGCAAACTTTGTTCTGGATGACAATCGACCATCAAAAACCAGAAACAACTCACTAGCGTGCTGCATAGCCCAAGATTAGGGGTCCAACCCAATGCCTAGGTAAAAAATGGACAAAAACAGGAAGAGCCACACACACCGTGATTTCATTTTTTTCTCAACACCCACACAAAACAGCAGTTTCTGACAAGAATGTTCTTGGCAAAAAAAATAAGTTCCAGGAAGGTTTTTCCCTTGAAGAAAAAGGCAGCTCTATATGCAGATTACGAGGCAAAATACCAAACAATTTTTTTAAGGCCCAAATTTACAGCCCTCATATTTTGAGAACATCTAAACGTTTTTGGGGGGGGGGGGGATCAAAGAAAAGATGACTGGAAACACTGTTCCTGTCTGGAATACTTATTTCATGCTGTACCTGAAAGTAAAATCCAACGTGGGCAGCTTACCTTGGCACTGGAAGCCTTGTTTCCCAAACCCCCTGAAAAACAAACAAGAAGATTTCTTAACATACTTTGTGTTGGATACATCTTAAGCCAGTTATGTAACAAAGCTTTCTAGTTAAAAGTCTGTACATGAAACCCAATGATGTGACAGGAAAACATGCCTAAACAGCTCAGAGCACTGGGTCAATGCAACTTTAAGAAGATCTGACCTCCAAAGGCTCCCTAAGCTGTCTCAATGTATTCAAGTTTTTTTTTTTTTTTACACTGTTATCAACACTTAAATTTCAAGGCAAGAACATGACTATAAAGTTGTTGGCTACAATATTCAGGGAACAAGGAGAACCTGACCTTACGGTTAAAAAAAACAGCTGAATTTGGTCCCTAAAGACCAACTGAAAATTGTTTCTCCCTAAAGACAACAAGCAGCTTCATCATTTGTTGTGAATGTAAGTATTTGTCTAGATATCGCCAAGCAGCGCCACTCTTAACATTGAACTTTGGCTTAAAGGAGCCACATTTTACAAACTATCATCCCTATTTTTCGCATGTAAGATTATAATCTAATTTTACCTAGAACCAAGGGCATTCAAAGCACATTCAGGAACTATTTTGTTCTTGTAAATTACTTTAGAGAATTTACTTTCTAAGCAGAAAATCCTGATGTGGACGTTAAATTGCAAACACCATTCCAACTAGGATGAACTACATTAAAATTCTCAGAAGGTTATGAGTCATAATCTCTCACTTTACACAGCATTTTAAGTTTACAAAGCACTTCACATATCTTTATAATTAACTCAGTCATCCCCACCCAGAAAATAATTAAACGCACTTAGTTTTAAAATATCAGTGCTTTAATATTTAAATGACTTGCAAATCAAGGACCCAGAAAAGAAAACTGAAAAATTAAAACCACTGCTCAACAAAGCTGGGGAATATTTTCCTGGAACTTCCAAGGGGTTGCTTTACAGCTAAGCAGAGAACTGTTTCAGGGATTACTCCAGGAGAAAGAGGCCGGGGAGATCTTTATTTTCCACTCACATTACACCTGGTGACCTGACATGCCACGTCAATTCACCAGGGGCTAGCAATTGATAGTGGAAAGTCTTCAGCGAGCCTGGATATACATGTTGCAAGTCCCTTTTCTACCTTACCTACTTCCTGCAAAAGTGATCAGTAGTCTAGCTGTTCCCTCTTAATGGAATTTCACAGCTGATACACGAGGCTGAAGACCTCCCCTTAACTAAATGCAATCTCCTCTCTGCCCTAATACTCCAAGAACTTAAATAGTCTTATCTACAACTACCTATGTGCTCCCTGGAGCACAACTGCTTCATACGCTGACTACACGTTGGAAACCATTCACGGAGGTAGCTGTGCTTTTCGTAAGTGTACTGTTGAGCTGATTTCTAAGACAATTAAGCACCTCATTAGCACCACGTGGGTGGGGCTCTCCTGGCGATGACCTTCCCAGGTGTGATGGATTCAGATAACGCCACACAAAGTTAAACACCTATTGATTAGCGCCATGTTTGTGGGCCTCGCCCTTAGAGATGATTTTCCCCAGCTGTGATGCATCCAGGTAGCGTTCTCCAGAGGGCCTCAACAAGATCCACATGCCAGCTGGCTGGTGGCAGGGCGCGCTCTGTGCTATGAACCTGGTGCCATTCCCCAGCCTGGCGGGGCGGGGGGGGCAGGAGTTACGGAACCCTAGACATGTCTGACTTGGGGCGGGTGTCCTACATCCAAGAACAAGAAGTAGAAGAAGCAGAGTAGCTAGCAACCTAATTGGAAAGAACCTACTGCTCCTCCAACTGGAGCATTTGGACTACCTTTAGTTTCAGCTTTCTCAAATAAAAGAATTAAGGAGGAATCACTGACCTTTATGAAAAGGTCAGTTAATAAAAGGCACAGCTCTCTCACGGGAAGAAAGCACATACACGATTTCCTCTAGTTTCACAGGGTTCAGAGAACCCGTCTCTAAAGCCCACCACTTACCCATTCCCCGTAAACCCCCGGGGACCCCCGAGTTAATTTCTGCGTTCATTGAAAGTTACCAGAACTCTGACACCTTCAGCCCTGCTAGCGTTTTTCTTACGGGCTCTGTCCTCACGCGCTAGGTTTTACCGGCCTGACCCCGTGCTGACGCGGGTTATTTTAAAGGACTCCATCTGCCCTTCTACCGTTTACCCGCTCCCTTTAACTCCCCCCACCCTGCACGCTTTTAACAGTTGGTCGCCTGTCCGCTCTCCCCGGGCTCACGCAGGGAAGCCAGAGTCACTCCGTGGCCAACAGGTACGAGTTGCAGCGGGCAGGACCCAAGGCTGCAACGGAGCCGGAGCCCGAGGAAAAAGGCCGCGTCCACACCCGCGAGGCGCCCGGCCCCGCTCGCCCCCAACCCGGGCCGCGCCGCGCAGCCGCCGCCTGCCGCCTCCCAGACTCTTCCCTGGGGACCCGCCCTCCGACTCTCCGCGGCGCTCGGCCCTGACCCGCGGAGACTCCCGGTCTGTTCCTGGGACGCCGGGGAAGGCTGGGGGGCCTCTGTGTCGCCCCCTGCCGCGGCGGGGGGCGGCCGGCCGGCGACTCCCGGCAGTCCCGCCCGCGTGCGTCCTGCCCGGCGCGCGCGTAGCGTCCCAGGCGAGTTGGGACTCCCAGCGGCTCCCCAAGTTCCCCGGGAGAGGCGGCCAAGACTGGGGAGGACCGGCCCCGCGCCCCGCCGCGCGCACCCACCAGATAAAGTCGGTGCAGTGGCTGCAGAAGGTGGGCTGCTTGAAGAAGCGGGCGATGAAGCGGTGGTCCTTCACCTCGTGCACGTTCTTCTGTCTTAGCGCCCCTTTGCGGGCGAAGCGGTTGGCCACGTCCTGAGGCGCCGCCGAGTCGTTGGCCGGGAAGACGTCAGCCATGGTCCCCCCACCGCCTGCTACCTCCGCCGGGAGCGGGGGGCGCGGGCGGCGGCCGAGGCGCGGCAGGAGTCGGGCCGGAGCGGAGCCGCGCCGGAGCGGAGCCGCGGGCGCGCTGCTGGCCCCTCGCGCACTGACAGCGGCGCCAGCGCTGGCGCTTCCGACTCGGGCAGCGGAGGCGGCCCGCCCACCGCGCATGCTCCGAGCGCGGCCCGGGCGGGCGGGGGCGGGGGTGCGCCGGCGCTGGAGGAGTCGACCCCCCCGCGTTTTCCGCGCCGCCGGGGAAACAGAGGGGGCGCCCGGGCCTGGGAGCTAAAGGACGCCGCGGAAGCGGGCCCGTTCTCCACCGCCACCGCCTCCTCCTTCTCCCAGCCTTCCTCCCCCTGGGCCGCCCGCTCCGCTCCGTCCACCGCACACGCCGTCCAGCTTGTCGTCGTCGTAGTCGCCGTCTTCCTCCTCGCAGACTCCGCTCGCCGCGCTCAGACGCTCACTTACCTCTCCCGCTTCCAAGACCCACCGTGTTTCCGGCCCAAGAGCCCAGCTTTTATAAGCTTGCATCAATTTGAGGTTTCACCTGGCTCCAATATCCAACCCCCGCCCCTCCCGGGCCACCACGCTGTTTATTATACACGGCAGGAGAAAAGGAGCTACTTTCAATTAAGGAACACGGGCCCTTTCACATGCTTCCAATTGAATTGTGCTTCACCTGCGTCTTGTATAGACGTCTAATTTGGATGTTAGGACGGTTAAAGGACTCGTCCTGGTTGTTTATCCCGTTACTCACTGACTACCACAGTTAAATCATGGATGATCAGGCTTTCTTGATTTTACAAGTCCAGAACCTTAATTTAGAAATCATTTTGCATCCTAGGCTAACAACTGCCTTACTGGCAGGTGCAGAGCGCAGCCAGTACATTTGTAAATTACCAAGTAAAACTGCTTGTGAAAGGGTGGCTGGCATGGGTCTTCGAGGACGCACGTGGGGTTGTACCAACTAATCACTTGCTGAATATTCATTAGTTCTGCCTGGAGGATGCTAAAATACATGAGGGAAACAACGTTTCATTATGGTTTAATTTCATCGTCAGATTCACTAAATTCACAAAACAACTTCATCTACTGAAGATAGCGAGAAAGGGAACATGTTTAATCCTTCGAGAGGTTTAAAAAAGCAAGAAAGCTTTCCTAAGATCTATACTATCTTAGAGCATATCACATAGACCAAATAGGGCTACCATTTTGTAAGATTGCCCAGTTGAACGCATGATGATAGGAATGTCTTTTATGTTTTGACACGTGTTAGTTATTGACCCGCCCTTAGTGGAGCATGCACTTTGCTGGCTCACTTGCAATCTCTCCCGCCAATGTACTTGGAGCTTAAAGAGATTGCACCTGCTTGCTATCCTGGTCAGAAATTTTGCCAGTAGTGGTGGCCCCCTCCAGTCCAAGGGGGCAAAATAAAAGGAATGAAAAGCAGGGGATGTCGGGAATATTGAGCAAATTCTCTGCAAAACACCATAAGCGTCTCACACCATGGTTGTTGATGGCTTAATACTTGTAAATCACATGGAACACGGTAGAAAGAAACAGATTCTTGCCTCACAGCCGTCTCTGCATCTAAGACCAAGGTCCTCACACCTTTTATGAAGACAAGCTTCCTTCTGTTTCCCTGAAACCTTGATATAAGGACAGAAGAAAAATATGGGAGAGCTGGAGGGAGGAGTTGCAGATGGAGTGATCTCTGAGCACAGTGACAGGCAAGATGAGCTAAGAATCAAGTGGACCTTGGCAGCAGCCTGGCCATCACCTGTGTGCGAGTGGAGCCACTGATCTCAGCAGTGGGGAGACCAGAGAGAGACAATATCTCTTTTCTTTCTGGTTGTGGCTTTGCTCTCTTGCCTCAGTGCTTACTGTCGTTCCTTATGGGCAAGGCGAGAACTCACTGGAAGTTTGTCGTTTGATGGCTGGGCTGAGCGTCAGTACTCTATTGCCTACAGATGGGCTCACTTGTGGCGCAGGGCGTGGGGTTACACCTGGGGCGGGGAATCCTCGCGCAGTGGAACACCACCCCCGGCAAGGACAGATGAGAGTGTGGGCCACAAGTGGCCCTGAAACCGAGCCAGACCCTGGGCACTCCTGGGCACAAAAGCCTTTCTGTGTCCCCCCACTTCTCAATTACAGGAAATAGGCTTCATTCAGCCTCCAGGACCTTCCCTGAGTTCCAACGGGCAGGTTCAAACAGTTACTAATCAGGGAGGGGAGGGGAATGCAGAGACCAGGGAGGAGCGGTCAGGAAACAATAGTGCAGCCTTGGCGCAGGGCGTTGGTCCCCCCCTCAAAGGATACACACATAATATCTCTGAGCTGTTTTGCAGATACTGAAACCCCCTCCAGGTGGGAGAAGTTAACTGCACGCTGCCCACAAGCACGGAGACCCCAGACCCGGTGGACCCAGAAGGCTGGTGATGCTGACTCCTGGTTACCTCGCCACCGACCAATCAGAAGAAGGTCCACGAGCTGACCACGGCTCTTTGAACCATTACTAGAAAACTCCTCACTACCCCCTCCAGGTTGGGATACACAGTTTTGAGGGCATGAGCCCGCTGTGCCCCCCTTTGCTTGGGAAAATAAAACTATCCTTTTCTGCTTCACCCAAAACCCTGTCTCCGAGATTTAATTTGGCGTCCGAGTACAGAGGCCAGATTCAGCTTCAGCCCCGGCAGCCCACCTGAGAAGGATCTCCATGGTGACACTAAAATGGAGGGGATTCCAGAAAGGGGAACTCCTGGGGAGGTGGAGTGGTCAGTGAGACATGGATGTTAGCAATGATGTTAGAGTCTGCTGTTTCCTGGGGAAAGTGCAGGAGAGCAGATATGGTAGACTGAACACACCGTTTGTGAGAGCCCTCCTCTGTGACCCCTGCCTTGAGGAGGAAGCCCAACACTCTTTGCAGAGGTGCTGCCTGGAGCAGACTTTAGGAAAACCTCAAAGCAAAATACCATCGATCCCTAATTAGATACACTGTATTATAAGAAGCCCATAATTCCCTGGTAAGGGAGAGCAGGATGTAAAACGATATTCAGAGATGCCATTTTTTAAAATGTATGTACACCTACATATATATGATATAAATATGCCTGTGCAGTTACACACAGGTGTATACAAAGATATACATGGCAAAATGTTCATTTAAGTGACTATCTCTGGATGGTGGGAATATAAACGCTTTTCTGTGCAGGAAGAGAAGCCTTTGGCCTAGGGTTTACATTTTGAAAGGGCATTGGAAACCGTAATTTTTAATGTTGTCACCAAAAGGAGGTATTTGTTATTTTTAACACAAAAGGTTTTATTGCCAGAAATTCACTGTTGTTGCATGGAGTAGGGATGGTACTAATTTGCATGTGAAATGCTTGGGAAGTGTTTTCAGCTGCTGACCCTCACCTCCTCCTTAGCCCCAATCCACAAGTAGAAGTTAAATTCCTGAGCGGACTGCCCAAGGAAGCTTCTAGGGGTCCAGAGGTTCTGCTTCCTCCACAAAGTGTTTTTCCTCCACTTTCTTCCAGGTTTTCTCTAGTAGCCATGGCACAAACCAGATGGAGGATCCAGAAAACCTGGGTTCGAGTCCGAGCTTCAGCACTAACTGATTTGTGTAATTTGGATAAATTAACTTCTCAATTCTCTCTCTCTCAACCTGAAAATGGAGATATTGATAACAACCCTAGGATTTTCTTAAGCATTTAACCCGATGATACATATATATAAATGTATATAAATAAAACCAGATGGTGGGTAGTAAATCCTAAAGTCTCCTACAAATGCAAGGTAGGACGGTGGGTCTCAGCTTTACCAAGCATGCATTTCGGAGAAAGTGAGTGGTGAGACCCACCCCCCACCTTTGGGGCCCATGATTCCTCCAGAAGTGACAGATGCCGTGCCCTCCACTCCCAGTGGCTGTGACTTAGGAAGCAAAAGATGACCCACAGAAGGAGTACCAAAAATGTAAGCTGGCGTTCATGTTTTAAACCCACTGCATTTCCCACCACCTTCACCCTTAAAGTGCTTTTTATGAAAGGCCTGGATTCTTTGAAAAACCTAGTTGCAAGAGGACCCAAGCAGCTCTCATAGTCTTCCATTCACCTAGAATTTAACGGGAATGGGAGCAGGTACTTAGTTGCTTCCCTGAACCTGCCTGGGGGACGTATCAGCCCATGGAAGTGACAAAACTACGAATCCCATGTACCTGTCCCCCAGTTCCAACAATTATCAATTCATGATGAATCATGTTTCATCTGTCCCCTGCCTTATCTCTCGATCTCTAGATAATATCAATAAAAGCTTAAAACAAGGCAAAACATGCCAAAGTATCAACTCCAGGAGGAGACTTGGGGGGGTAGTTCTGTTCAGTATTTCACAGATATTCACATAGCAAAACTCACCCAACTGTAGGCTTTAAATATGCATGCAGGGACTTCCCTGGCGGTTCAGTGGTTAGGACTCCTCACTTCCACTGCGGGGGGCACAGGTTCGTTCCCTGGTCGGGGAACTAAGATCCCGCAAGCCATGTGGCACTCGGTCAAAAACTAAAATAAATCAAGATGCGTACAGTTAACTTACATCAATCCTGTACTCAACAAAACGGTAAACACGTTTAAAGGTAAACAGCCAAGTCCACTCGTCCAAACACACACGTGAACTGGAAGACGAGGGGAAGAACCCGCGGGCCCTCCCACCGGGCTCGCCGCTGCCTTTCGCCGGAGGCTAAGGCAAGCCTGCTCTGTCCAGTAGGTGTGAGGGGCAAGTTTAGTTCCAGCCCCAAAGCACTCAGGGGCTCCATGTGTGTGGGGGGTGCTTCCAACCAGACTGTTCAAGCCCTCTGTTTTCTGCTTCCCCCCGCCCGCCACATTCACTCGGAACCCTGCACGTTCCGAGTAGGCTCTCAGAAACCACCCGCCCCCGAAGGCATCCCCTCCTCTGCCCCCAGCTACAGGGACTTTTACTCCTCCTCTCCTGTACTATTGTTTTTGTACTCTTTATTATATATCACTTTCAACATAAACCTCCCTCTATCTTTCCCTTCAGGGTAAGGCCTTCCATCCTCCTTCTAGGATTTTGCATCAGAGAAAGTCTAGGAACCGCCTGTTTTAAAAAGGGTATTTTGGGGTAGAAGTGAGCATCCGGGTG